TTCGCACATGCGTCGGTAAGGCGAAGAACATCCCGTAGGAGCGCTGAGGAGCTTTTTGTTGTTGATTATTGGGTTTTTCATGGCAGTGGATAAGCGCGGCAACAAAACACGAGTCGGCCATAAAGTTGTTTCGCGTCTTGGGGATGTCTTTGACGTGTTGGAGGCGTTGGTAGGATGTTCCTGGGCCGATAGGGGACCATCGTTCCAGAAAAGGGGGTCCTACATAAGCTTCGGCGAGCAATCGCCTCTTGCGGCCGTCTTGGGCCGCTCTGGGGAGTGGTGGAAGACATGTTAGGCCCGTATGGGCCGTGTCGGGTCTCCATTGGGCGATTTTAGGTGGCTCTTGAGGTTTCAGAAGCCCGTCAGAAGCGAAAAGGCGAGAAGTCAAAGGCATTGGGAAACCAGAGGCGGTTGAAGGAATTTGCTTTGTTGGGGTGATCTTCGGAAGGCTTGGGAGCACCTCGTAGCCAGATTGGAAGAAGACCCTGCTTTCTTGGAAGCGTGATTGGACGCCATCTAGGCCCAATGTATGTGCTCCATCTTGGCGCTCTCCTGGACGCAAGTGGTGCTGACGGGCGTGACGTCAGTGTCGAAGGAGTGAAAGGGTGGCGGTGGGGGCGCCCGCGAGGCAGCCGCCTTCGCCTGGTGTTGGGCGCGGTGCTCCTTGTATGTCCACCGCAGGTTGTGCGTGACCCGCTCCGCCGGCAAGCTACCTGCCGAGAATGTACCTGGGGCGCGCGTGCGCGGCGAGCCAGTTGGCGTCCCGATGAGGCGGGACACGGCGACAAGGAGGGAATGGCTGAGAGTGCGGCCGCCCAGGGGCTGCGCGAGCGAGCCCACCGCCGCCGCGGCACTGCCGACACGGGCCGTGCATCGGAGGGGGGGATCCGCGGGACAGCAACCGCGGGTGGGGCGGCGGCTGGAGGGGCGGTTCCCACACGTAATGACGCGGGATGCCACGTACACGGAGGACCAGTCCACATCTTCGAAGACCCGATCATCCCAGGCGTGCGTGAAAGTTGGGAGTACCGACCGCTGCCGGTGCAAGGGATCAAGGCCAGGGAATGGCGGGGGGCATCCTCGGCGACGGCGCAAGAGAGGAATTCGGTCGACAACCTGCGACCGTTGAGCCGATCACGCTGAATTTGAGTCGGGCCTGTCCCTCTACAGGAGGAAATTTCAAAAATAGTCAAAAAATAGTCTGGGGACGATGTTTCGACTACTTCTGACTATTTTTGGGCATGTTTTGACTCTTTCTCATCTTTCGCCCAAACTCCGCCTGTCGGAGGACATGCCCGATTTAACGCTGCATGTCCTTCGCCCGACTGACGTGGTCGTGGGCAGGGGGGGGAGCCGTGGCGGGGTCGCAGCTGCGAGGGAGGTCAGGTGGCGGCACGCGTGTGCGGGGTGGCCCCCCGCCGCAGCCGGCAGCTCTGAATGGCCCGGCTTCCTCTCGTCCCGTCGCGCCGGGGCTCCTTCTCCTCCTCCTTCCGTGCATTGCAGCCGCAGTTTGCACACAGCGTGTCCCCTGTTGCCCATCCGCCAGAGCAGTCGCCCTCTGCCCAGCCGCCGACGCAGAAGTGCGGGGCGGCCCCCGTGGCCGGCGGCGAGGCCACGGAAGCGGCGCGCGGCCGCTCGGCACCGCAGGCGCAGGGGCCGAGCGAGTGGCGACCTTCTGGTTGCTGAGGTGGCCGCGGTGGCACCTCCGGCTTGTTGAAGCAGCCGAAGCGCTTATGCATTGGCGGCGGCGGCCGGCGACGGCCCCAGCGCGGAGGCTGCGGCTTCGAACCTGGCGTCCAACGCGGGCCAAGCCGCCCCCACGACCCGCCCAAGAGGGCCCCCCAGGTCCCCAAGAGATCCCAGGAACCCTCCAGAGGCTCCAGAGGGGGAGCTCGAAGTGCCGTCTCGAGCCCTCCACCCTAAGATGGCCCACCCTCTCGAGCCTGCACGGCGGCGGCGGCTTCGCACTGGCCCCCAAGGGAAGGAGAAGGCACATGGCAACGGATGCCCCCCCCCACACCCCATGGTAAAGAGAAGGCACACGGCAGCGGTAAGATTGGCCGTGGGGTGCGCGGGCGACCCCCCCCCGCCGGGGGGGAGCGGCTGGCCCCCCCCCCCGGCCAAGGGAAGAGAAGGTGAGCGGAACGGATAATCCCCCTCGCGGAAGGGATTGGTCAGCCACGCGCAGACGGGGGTGGGGGGAGTGGGGGGGGCTTCTTAGAAGCACCCCTGCTTTTTAGAAGGCGTGGCTTCTTAGAAGGCGCGGGCCTTGTCTATAGATGTAAGGCCGGCGCCTTCTAAGAAGCAGCCTCCTTCTAAGAAGCCCTCCCCCCTTCCCCCACCCCCTTGTGCGCACCGCCAACCCCCCCCAAGGGAAAGAGAAGGCACACGGCAGCGGTAAGACTGGCCGTGTGGTGAGCGGGCGACCCCCCCCCCGCACGGGGGGAGCGGCTGGCCCCCCCGAAGGTGAGCGGAACGGATAATCTTAATTCGGGCCTGTCCCTCCACAGGGAATATTAAAAAATTGTCAAACAAAAATATGGGGACGATCTTTCTACTCTTGGAGAGGCCTGACGGCCGGTGCCGCCGACCCTGATCGAAAGGGCTAGGAGTGGGGGGAGGAAGAGGAGGATGAGGAGGAGGAGGGGGAGGAGGAGGAGGAGGAAGAGGAGGAGGAGGAGGAGGAGGAGGAGGAGGAGGAGGAGGAGGAGGAGGAGGAGGGAGGGAGGGAGGGAGGGAGGGAGCAGGGGGAGGGGGTAGGAGGAAGGGAGAGGAGAGGAGAGGAGAGGAGGAGGAGAGGAGGAAGAGGAGGAGGAGGAGGAGAGGATGAGGAGGAAGAAGAAGAGGAGGAGGAGGAGGAAGTGCATCCTTTGTGTGCCCGCTCGAAGAAAGTGCGCCCCGGGAGTGTGATATTCTGACTTGGGACGTGCTCCCGGAAGAGGAAGAAGTGCATCTCGGGCGTGCCCGCTCGAGGAAAATGCGCCCTAGGGGGGTGGTATTTTGACTCGGGGCCCGCTCCCGGGACGCCTCTGCGGGAGGAGGAGGAGGAGGAGGAGGAGGAGGAGAAGGAGGAGAGGAGCAGGAGGAGGAGGAGGAGGAGGAGGAAAAGGAGGAGGAGGAGGACCAGGAGGAGGAGGAAGTGCATCCCGTGCGTGCCCGCTCGAGGAAAGTGCGCCCCGGCGGGCGTCGTATCTGCCCCGGGCCCCCCCCCCCTCCCCCCCCCCCTCCCCCCCCCCTGCGGGGAAGGGATCAAAGGGAAGGGGCTTCCCTTCGACTCCACTACGACGTCGTTTAATTTCGCTTTGGATAGCGCGCTTGAGGAGGAGAGCCCTGGGAGGGGGAGAACGGAGACGACGGAGACGACGAGTCGAACGGAGAAGCCCTTCACACACGCCGACAGGGTCGGCGGATCTTGACAATTCGGGGTGTCTGTTCTGATTATGTTGTCTTTGTCGTCCGAAATCCGCCTGTAGGGGGACATGCCCGACTTGAGGATAACCCCCCCCCCGCAGAGGGGATTGGGAACGCGCGCTCGCACCATCTGGCATCCGAGAGAGTGGAAGCGGCGGGGAGAGAGGGGGCGATGACGGCAGAGAAGAAGTCGAGGAGGGGAGGAGACCCAGCGGCATGTGAGCGCGACATGCCGGACGGCCATATGAGGCAGAGCGAGGCGTAGAAAGACCGAGAGTTAGAAAGATGGAATGTGCGGGTTACCCCCCACCCGGGGAGAGTAAGCGATGCGGATTACCCATTGCAAAGGGGATTGGGAAGAGTGCGCTCGCATTTCTGACATCTGGTAAAAGGGAAAAGCGGGGGGAGGACGGGACGACAAGACAGACAAGGAGAAGGATGAGGAAAGGGGAGAGGCGGCGAAACATGCATGTGGTAAAGAATCCGCGCGCGTGTGGCAGGGATTGAAACGAGTAAGCCTCCACCTCCGGCGAAGGAACATGTCCAGATCCAAGCGGCGATGCGCAGCTCTGGCAACGATAAATGCGATCTGAAACGGCAAAAGCTCGACAACGGGCAGATCAAGAACGCAGCACGGACCGACCAGCGAGGCAAGGTCAAGCAGTGAACCGAGGCCTGAATCAATTAAACGATGAAACGAATTGTAAGCGATGGCATATGAAAACAGCCACTGCGCGGCAGGGGTCAAGACTAAGACAAGGCGGCGCCAGCAGAAGGTATCGCGATCTTACAAGTCAGCGCGAAAGTCGGGGGCACCGCACAAGCCGATCTGCCGTAGACAAATGCATGCGATGCACCGAGGCCAAAACAAAACGATGCGAGCGGCAAGCGATGCCGTGCGTAAACAGTCACTGCGCGGCAGGGGCTCAACTTGAAAGAAGGAAACGCGAGCAGAGGGCATCCAAAAAGTCGGCAGGCAAGTCGGGGACACCGCACAAGATGAGCTGCAATAGGCAGATTCATGCAATGAACCGAAGCCTGAACAACAAATCGGCAAGGCAAATGCCCTCCTCACGCGAAATATCACAAGGAGCGAATTTGCCAGGCGAGCCGGGACACCGCACAAGACGAGCTGCAATAGGCAAATTCATGCAACGAACCGAAGCTTGAAACGAGAACGACACAGACATGCCGACCTGAGGAGATCCCTGGAGCCCAAGCGAACGAAGATCCAGACACACAAGTGCTCTCGCTACACCTAACACGCTGCACGAATAAATGTAAGTATACCTTCCAGGGCGCTCGTGGCTGGAAATCTGAGATCGGGGAAGGCACAACGCCGGACCACCACGAGGGAGGACTAGGGCAAGCCTCGCGAATACAAAACTTAGAAGGTAATCGCAGCACCGCACAAGCCGACCTGCAATGGACCGAGGCCTGAGCAACAATTCGGCAAGCAAAAGCCATGCACGAGGGCGCACGCACACAAACACACACACACACACACACACACACAAACATGAACGCCTCCTTCGGCGTGGCGTTTGCCAGGCTGTTGGCATAGATCCTGAGGCGGATTGCGTTGACTTTCAGCTCCAGAGGAACGGGAAGAGTGCACTCTCCGAGTCCTTTGGCACCGTGCGCCTGAGCAGTTGGATGGCCAGCAGGCTGCCTTGGTGGAGCCCACGGAGGCGGATGCCAGACGCATAGAAGAACTCCGCCATAAAGAAGCGCAACTCCACGCTGGTGGCGGCGGTGCGACGGCGGCGCGGTGCCAGAGGCGCGGGCGGCGCCCGCGGCAGCAGCGCGGGGCGCGCGGGCTGCGCCAGCGGCGCCGACGGCGTCCACGGCGCAAGGGCCGCCAGCAGCGCCGGCGGCGCCAGCGGCGCCCGCGCCGCCCGCCGCGGGAGCGGCGCCAGCGGCACGAGCGGCGTCAGCGGCACCAGCGGCACCCACGGCGCCACGGGCGCAAGCGCGCAAGCGGCGCCAGCGGCGCCCGCGGCGCCCGCGGCGCCCGCGTCACCCTCCGCGGCAGCGGCGCCGGAGGTGCCCGCGGCGCGGCGTTCTCGGCGTGAAAACGGAGACCGCCCAGTCGACGTAGTGGACGTGGCTAGGGCAAACCGCGCAGTGCGAGTTCAGGTAGGAGACGGAGAACGTCACAAGCGAGATAAGCGACGACGCGCAGGCCATGAGGACCATCACCGAGAAGGAATAGAAACAGGTACAAAGCCGGAAGTATGTTCGCTAGTGGTGCACGAGGGCACGGCGAGCATGAATTGAAAAGGGCGTGTTTTATCGGCTGGCGGCATGACCCAAAGCGGCTCGAGCGTTTTTTTGCCAACGGCGCAGAGGGGCCCCAGGCGCAATCCACAGATGCAAGTGTGAATTGCGACCGAACTTAGTCGGGCGCGCAGTCAAGGATACGCCCACCACTGCTGTGCAGAAAGGATGGTGAAAACAATCAGAGGCAGCAGCGTCGAATGGGGACTCCCCGCTGCAATGTCCCGGCGGAAAACCGCGCGTCACGCCCGGAGGCCGCGAGGAGGACATCCACTTTTACGCCCATATCCCCCCTGACGTCCACCACCTCATCTTCCCCCGCCCTCCGCAACAAGCACTTGCTCGTGGACCTTCTCGGGCGGCCCCGCCCTCGCATCCCCCTCCTCCTCGTCCTCCTCCTCTTCCTCCTGGCCAATGTGGTATTCCTCCTCCTCTTCCTCGTCCTGCTGCTGCTCCTCCTCCTCCTCCTCATCCTCCTCCTCGTCCTGTTGCTGCTCCTCCTCCTCGCCCACCTCCTCCTCGCCCTCCCCCCCCATCCCCCCCCACCTGCTCCTGCGCCAGATCATGAATAAGACGCGGCAGGCTGCGTGAATAAGACGGCGCCGATGCACCTGCATCCGCGGGCAGCTTGCGCGCGGGTGAATGCGCAATCGATCCCCGCGGCATCGCCCCCCCCCCCCCCCCCCCCCCCCCAAATTTCAAATTAGGCGGCGCAGCGGACCGCTCCCGTCAAAGCCTCGCCCCCCCCTCGGGGGCGGTTAACCCACCCATCCCGCTAGCAGACCGTGGAGGCCTTGAATAACGAATCCAGCGTCTGGAGCCTTGCGAAGATCCACTCGCGTGGAACGGGGGGGGGGGGCAGAAGTTGTCCACCCCCAATCATTGCGAGCTCTCTGCCCTCCCTCCGTCTCCTCTCCCTCGCCCACTAGCGGTTGCAGTTGCGCGCCCGCGGGCGGGTCGAAATGCGTCGCCCAGTTGCGGTTGCGGTTGCGCGCCCGCGGGCGGGCCGACATGCGTCGCCCGGTTGCGGTGCGGTTGCGCGCCCGCGGGCGGATTGGAATGCGACGCCCAGCTGCGCTCGCGCCCCGCGGGCGGGTCGAAATGTGCCGCGCAGTTGCGGTTGCGGTTGCGCGCCCGCGGGCGGGTTGAAGTGCGTCGCCCAGTTGCGGTTGCGCGCCCGCTGGCGGGTTAAAATGCGACGCCCAGGCGCGTTTGCGTTTGCGCGACCCGGGCGGATTGAAATGCGTCGCCCAATGGCGGCTGCGGTTGCGCGCCCGCGGGCGGGTCAAAATGTGGCGCCCAGTTGCGGTTGCGGTTGCGCGCCCGCGGGCGGATTGGAATGTGTCGCCCAGGTGCGGTTGCGGTTGCGCGCCCGCGGGCGGTTTGAATTGTGTCGCCCAGTTGCGGTTGCGGTTGCGCGCCCGCGGGCGGGTCGAAATGTGTCGCCCAGTTGCGGTTTCGGTTGCGCGCCCGCGGGCGGGTTGACATGTGTCGCCCAGTTGCGGTTGCGCGCCCGCAGGCGGGTTGAAACGCGTCGCCCAGTTGCGGTTGCGGTTGCGCGCCCGCGGGCGGGTTGACATGCATCGCCCAGTTGCGGTTACGTTTGCGCGCCCGCGGACGGGTCGTCAGTTGCGGTTGCGCGCCCACGGGCGGTTTGAAGTGCGGTGTTCAAGGCGCCCTCCTGACGTTCAGTCAGTCCATCATTCAGTGAATCAGTCAGTCAGTCAGTCAGTCACCGGCGGGCACGGAATTTCACCTGGCTCCGCCGGGAAAAAAGATAGAGATTGTAATGGCAGAGATTGGGTGGTGTAGCGACCCCAACGACAATTGGAGAAAACGGGTGGTGTAGTGATGGGACTGTAAACCCAAAAGCGCGCAGCGGCCAGAACCCGAGGAGCACTCAGAGCGAGAGCTCGACTCAAGATGAGCTGAAGCGCGAGCAGCCCGGTGCAAATTGAGGCCACGAATCACCGACAGGCGATGACCCAAAGAGCGCGCAGCGGCCAGAACTCGAGGAGCGCGAAAGGTCGATTCAAGGCAGCCTGAAACGTCAGTACAAATCTCAACACGTAAAGATGCCAGACCAGCCGATTGGTGGGGCAACGCTGCGATCTACGGCCTGGCGACACGATAAGGCTCCCCCCATACGACAATAGTGGAGTATTGTGCGTGTGTTTTGCGTATGTTGTGCGTGCGTTGCGCGTGTGTTGTGCGCGTGTTGTGCGTGTGTTGTGCGCGCGTGTGCGCGTGTGCGTGTGTGCGCGTGTGCAGGTGTGCGTGTGTGCGCGGGTGCGTTTGCGCGTGGGCGCGTGGGCGTGTGCGTGTGTGCGTATGTGCGTGCGTGTGTGTGTGTGTGTTTGTGTGTTTGAGTGTGTGGTCTTGCGTGTTGATGTGCGTATGTGTGGGTGTTTGTGCATGCTAGCGTGCGCTTGTGTGTGTTTGTGTGCGCTTGCGTCTGTTAGTATGTATTTGTTTGTGTGTGTGTGTGTTTGTGTGTGCTTGGGTGCTGCGTGCGTTTGTGTGTGTATGTTTGTTTGTTTGTGTGTGCATGTGTGCATGTGTGGTGCGCGTGTGTGCGTGTGTGTGCGTGCGTGTGTTTGTGTGCGTTTGTGCGTGTGTTTGTTTGTGTGAGCGCATGTGTGCATGCGTGTTGTGTGTGCGTGTGTGTGCGTGTGCGTGCGCGTGTGCGTGTGTGTGTGCGCGTGCGCGTGCGCGCGCGCGTCCGTGTGCGTGTACGTGTGCGTGCGCGTGTGCGTGTGCGTGTGCGTGTGCGTGTGCGTGTGCGTGTGCGCGTGCACATGCGCGCGCGTGCGTGTCCGCGCGCGCGTGCGCGTGCGCGTGCGCGCGCGCGTGCGCGCGCGAGAGCGCGTGAGTTTGCGCGTGCGTGTGCGCGTCACCTTGCGCAGGGCTCTCCGCCCTTTCACGCCACCATTCCCACTGCGCGACCCCGAGACTGGATGCGGGCCAAGAACGCCCTGGCGAGGGCACTGGGCAGCTCGCGACTACCCACTATCCGGCAACCTAACACTCTATGGTGGCACGTTAAGGATTCCCCCCCTCCTTCCCGCGCCACTTGGGAGGACCTCTGCAACGGCGTGCTCGCGGAACAGCTCACAGCGCCGCTCGCCCGGCTCAGGCGGGCCGAGTCCCTCAGAATTACTTCCTGGGAGTGCAATGCGCGGGCCGCCATGGTCCCTGCCAGGTACCTTGCCTCCTCCCCTGCATAAATTGGCCCCGCCGGGGGATGCGCTGGAGGCGCGGCTGTGCTCCCCCCCCATGACTTCGACCTCTTCTGCCCCATTGCGCTCGTCCCCGGGAGAGCCGCTGCCGTCGCGGCCAGAAGAGATGACCAGACGCCCCGCTTCATCTCCGTCTACCTCCCGCCTGTCTTGCAAAGCGAAATCTTTGACGCCATAGCAGAGGCCATTCCCCACGGCGACAGCACCCCAACGCACTGGAAGGCGACGTCAATCTGCAGTGGAGCAACCCAAGAGAAGGTGGGATAGATGCCGCAAGCGCCCGGATGGCGCACCTCACCCAACGCAGCGAGCACCCCGTCGCCATGGAAGGCCCCACCATCGCAAGCAGGCGCGGAGAATCCCAGATCGACACAATCGCACGCAGGGCCAACACAGTAGGATTCTATCAGATCTAGAAGGGCTGGAAGAAATCCTTTTCCGACCACACCTTGATCTGAGCCGGCCCCACCACTCAGCCCAGCACCAGGCGTCGCAACGAAATGAATCCCGGGACCTCCAAATCCTGCCCCGAGGGTGCCCACGCCGAGCTCCGCTGGAATTACGCGCTGCTTGAAAGAACCCTCCAGGTCACTCGGGCGGACTTGCCCAGCCCTGCACAGCCCTCTGACTGGCTCCGCGCGACCCCCCCGGGACACCGCCCGCCCGGCCGGCCGCCCCGCGGAGAGGGTCGCATCTGAATCTTCGTCGGAGGAACCGCCGCCTGCAGACCCCCACGCCCAGGCCGCCCCGACACCCCCCCTACCGCCCTCGAATGGCCTTCTTTGGACGCCACGCATTGTCGGCAATGATCCAATCCCAGTGGACAGGGCCGGACAGGTGGGCGAGAGCCCGCTGCATCGCCCGCGCGCTAGCCAGAGTTGCGCCCAGCGATGAACCAGTCCGCCCCCGCGGCCCCCTCGCCGGGTGGATGACCTCAGTCGGCATGGGCGACAGCGACCTCGCCGCGGACGCCGCCGCGGCTGACACGCCAGAGGGCCGACCAGGATCAGAGGACGGCGGCGCGCCAGTCCCCGCGGCGGAGAGGCCCTGGCGCGGAGCGCTCGCCGCTGGCCCCGCGCTGCCGGATGGGCAGAGAAATCCCCAGGAAGGCGCACTCCCTCAGCGGGGTCAGAGACGACGACGGGACATGGAAGAACAGGCTGGACGACGCCGACCAAATCCCTTGGAACAGTCGGTCCATCTGGCAGACCGCCCCTCCCCTTCCCCCCTCGGCCGTCGCCCTGCTGGGCGTTTATTTCGCTGCGATCGGGCAGTAGCACTGCCGGATCGCCCGCGGCCTTTCTGGGGCCGCCTGGCGGCGCTGATCCTCGCCCCATCCGGCGGCGCTCCTGGGGTCGATGGGAGACCCTATACGAGGTGCACCACTCCTGGCCAATGCTCGGCACGCCGCCAATCCGAACCCTGCCCCCCCCCCCCACCCCCACCACCACGGCACTCGGCCCCACGGGGGACCTGCTCGTTTGGATTTTGACAATCCCCAACGCCGAACGCCCCTGCAGCACCGCTTCTCTGGGGCCCCGCATGCCGACCCTCTCGGGCCCCCAGTTGAACCACAGCTGCCCCCTGACCAAGCGGCCAAGGAAGGGGGACCATTCGGGCCGAACATCCGCGGGGCCACCGACCACCTCGGGCGCCCCCCGCCCACCGCGCCACCGAGCC